CTCCGCGCAGGCGCAGCACAGCAGTGTAGCACACATTGATCGGCACATGCACATCACAGACAGGCAGAGAGCCGCAGAAGTGAAGCCCTCCCTCCTTTTCCAGTTGTATTTGTCTCGGTGTGGAGGTGAGTGGTGATGAACAACATACTAAGCTACCTGTGCCTCGTATTTGTAACTGCAGGTTAAATACATTCATGTCCTGCATTAAACAGTGTGTAAATGCATCTAGATGTCCCTTCTAATGCAGCTTCTGTGTTTTCTCTGCATTGCATTTTAATTTTGTCAATACTGATTTAATTTGCTTGGTAACATATCAAAAACTTTAGGAGTCAGCTGTCCACGGTAGTCCTTAAGATATCAGCACAATAACACACTCCGCAAAATACCGTCTAATTATTATCGATAAAATCCCAGATAAAATGGAGATATATTTTTTGTCATACCCCTAATATATTTAACGTTTTGTTTAGAAAAAAATTTAAATAAATATGAGGTGCCATTTTTTCCACTCAAAATGTCTGTGCACGTCCCTGGTAAAAAGGTTGGTTTCTGGCCGTGCGTGTCTAGTTGTTGATGATGATAGACAATATGTGGAGCTGAACCGTAACAAAGGACATTTGGTGGTAAAAGAGGGAATAGACAGAGAGCAGCTCTGTGACAAAAATCTCCATGAAGTTTCTGTCTTGAGATTTTGCTTGAAAACCCTCTGGAATTTTCTCGAATACCATCGAGATCCAAGACATCAATGATCATGCACCCGTTTTTTCCAAGAAAGAAATAATTCTCGAGATAAGCGAGTCCACACCTATAGAAAAACATTTCTTGTTAGACACAGCCACTGATCCCGACGTTGGTTTGAATTCTCTTCAAATCTACAGTCTGAAACCTACTGACATTTTTTCTTTAAAGCAACACAGTCACTCAGACGGCAGTAAATATGCAGAGATCGTGTTGCAGTTGGTGCTGGACAGAGAAAAACAGAGCGACCATTCACTTATATTAACGGTTATTGATGGTGGAGACCCGCCGCGCTCTGGAACCGTTAAAATACACCTTACTGTGCTTGATGCTAATGATAATGTACCAGTTTTTACGGAATTGATGTATAAAGCAAGTATAGCTGAGAACGCGGTAAGAGGCACGTTGATAACTAAAGTAAGTGCATCTGGTGCAGATGAAGGAAACAATGGCAATGTAACATATTCCTTTACTTATATTAGAGAGGATGCAGCGCACCTCTTTGAAATCAATGCAAATACAGGTGAAATGATTATAATAGGAAATCTAGATTTTGAATCAATTCAACATTATGAAATTAACCTTCAAGCAAAAGACCCAGGTGGTTTCGCAGGTGCCAGTAAATTGGTCATAGATGTTGTAGATGTTAATGACAACAGCCCGGTTATAACAATGACATCTTTTTCGGGTAAAAATACAAGCGGATTCTCCACCCGGCACAGTTGTAGCTTTAATAAGCGTCCAGGATTTAGACTCTGGTAAAAATGGACAGGTCCGCTTAAGTTTAGAACAAAATTCTCCCTTTACAGTTAAACCATCACCGCGTAAGTACTACACTTTGGTCACCAATGCACCACTAGACCGAGAAAAAGTTTCCAGTTTTAATTTAACGTTAGTTGCGCGTCAGATGAGGGCAGCCCCTCAGTATTCAGTAAAATAACTATTTATTTAGATATTACTGATATTAACGACAATGCTCCAGCCTTTAGTCAGCGTGAATATAAAACGTATATATTAGAGAATAACTCACCCGGCGTTTCTCTGCTGACTCTTAAAACAACAGACCCTGACGCAGGACAAAACGCGCGTATCGCCTATTATCTGATAGATACAGATGTAAATGGTTCTCCTGTCTCAACGTACTTCTCTATAGACTATGGAATTATCCACGCGGTGCGATCACTTGATTATGAACAGATGAAAGAGTTTAAAATACATGTGAGAGCGCAAGATGGAGGGTCTCCACCTCTTGGTTCAAATGCAACAGTTATCATTAACGTTCAAGACCAGAATGACAACGCGCCTCAGATTCTGTATCCGGTCCAGTCAGTATGTGGTGGCTGAAATAGTGCCTCGTTCGGCAGATGTGGGTTATCTGGTGACTAAAGTGGTGGCTGTTGATGTGGACTCTGGACAGAATGCCTGGCTCTCATATAAACTGCAGAAAGCCACAGACAGGGCGCTGTTTGAAGTGGGCTTACAGAATGGAGAAATAAGAACTGTACGCCAAGTGACAGATAAAGATGCTGTGAAACAAAGACTCACTGTTGTAGTGGAGGACAACGGGCAGACCTCTCGATCAGCTACAGTCAATGTTAACGTGTCGGTTGCAACTGCTTGGCTGCAGTCTCATTTCTTTTTATAACGTGTTTAGTCGTCATAATATCTGTTAAAATCTACAGGTGGAGGCAATCTCGTTTGTATTATCAATCAAATCTCCCGGTTATTCCGTACTATCCGCCTCGTTACGCAGACACTGTTGGCACAGGAACTCTGCAAAACGTGCATAATTATGAAATTTACAGAACCACAGACTCCAGGAAAAGTGATGTTAAGTACTTCGGACCCATCAGTCAAAGTCTGATGAGTGTTGACACGAGTGGAACCGAAACAATTCCAAAGGAGAAACGTAGCATCGATTGGACTGAAACGGGCAGCACACTGGTGAGTCTCCACAATGTGATTTTTTTTCTAAACATAGCTTTCAAAGGATATTGTACACTAGTAGGCTGCAATGTTATAGCTAAAAGTGACATTTAAACGGCATATGCGTTGTCGCTGTCCATGGTGCTGAAAAGGATAGCCTCGATTCAATAAGTCTTATCCTACATATCAATGTCATTTGCATTATATATATATATTATAGTACAAAGGATATCATTAAATTGGAAATAGGTAAACATCACAGATTTCGTCCCTTGCTTTGGCTCACTTTGAACAGCAAGGGCCGCTGTTGATCAGTAAAACATATTATGGTGTGCTTCGTCATTCAGCAGTCTTCACCCCTCCCCAATTTCTTACATTGTGGCAGATGAGGGCAAGGCTGCCTCGACATTTTTATTCAGGGTTGCCTGCAAAAGGCACTAAGGTTTGCAATACATTTTTCATTGCATTATTTCCTCACAACATCTTGGATTACATCTCAACTTTTTAACGTATAGGATTTACAATTTGTTAACCTTGTGATTATTATGGTTCAGTGGGGTCATCGGTCTTGGCGATGGAAAATTATGGGGCTGTTATCGATGTTTTTTTCTTTTTATATTTACACTGCAAGAGGACAGATACGATATTCGATTCTGGAGGAGATGAAGAAAGGCTCACTCATAGGTAATGTAGCACAAGATCTGGGGCTCGATTTGAAAAGGCTTCGAACGGGTCGAGCGCGTATCGTGACCGGAGAAAGCACTCAGTACGCTGAGCTTAAAACAGACAAAGGGATTCTGGTCGTGAGTGAGAGAATAGACCGAGAACAGCTCTGCGGCGACGTCACACCATGCAGCTTTAGCTTTGAGATCATTCTAGAGAACCCAATGGAGCTGCACCCAGTTACTGTTGAAATATTGGATGAAAATGATCACGCGCCGTCCTTTCAGAACAAAGAATTAAAATTCGAAATTAGCGAGTCTGCAACGCTTGGTTCACGCTTTTTATTGGAAAGCGCAGATGATCACGACGTAGGCGTGAACTCACTGCAGAATTACATTTTATCGACAAATAATCATTTTGTTTTAAAGCAACACTCAAATCCAGACGGCAGTAAATACGCGGAAATGGTTTTACAGAAAGCCTTAGACCGGGAGGAGCATCCTCATCTATCTCTAAAGCTGATCGCTGTAGATGGCGGAAACCCGCAGGGGTCTGGCTCTGTTAATATAGAGGTTACAGTTTTAGATGCGAATGACAACGCACCTGTGTTTAACCAGACAGTCTATAGGGCATCTGTGATGGAAAATGCACCGAAGGGCACTTACATTACTACCGTGAACGCCACAGATGCAGACGCCAGTTCTTATGGGCGAATAACGTACAATTTCTACAAACAAAAAGGAACCGCTGCGCAGTTATTCAACATTGACAGCGACACTGGCATTGTTTCTGTTATTGGAGAAATTGATCATGAAAAAGATATTAAATTTGAACTTACAGTTGAGGCTAGGGATCAGGGTGGATTAACTGATTCGAGTAAAATTGCACTAGAGGTCATTGATGTAAACGACAATGCACCTGTCATTAATACAATGTCTTTCTCGAACACAGTATCTGAAAATGCTCCACCTGATACCACAATTGCAATAATAAATGTTAAGGACTCAGACAATGATGATAATGGCAAAGTCAATTGTTTTATCGAAGGATCTGAAGATTTTACAATAAAATCGACTTTAAGAAATTATTATTCTTTAGTCATAAATGCTATTTTAGATCGTGAGAAGTTGTCAGAGTATAACATAACTGTCATCGCCACTGATTCCGGAAAGCCGCCACTAACAAGCAGAAAAACATTTAATTTAAAAGTAACTGATGTTAATGATAATCCCCCAGTTTTTCAGCAGAGTATTTATAATTCATACTTGTTAGAGAATAATTCACCTGGTGTTTCTATTCTTTCAATCCGAGCTCGTGACCCGGACGAAAATCAGAATGCGCGTATATCTTACATTCTGGAAGAAAATGACTTTGGCGGCTCTCCTGTAGGAACGTATGTTTCCGTTAACGCAGAAAGCGGAGTTGTACACGCAGTGCGAGCTTTTGATTATGAACAGATCAAAAACATTAAAGTAACAATTATAGCGCAGGATGGCGGCTCTCTCCCGCTTTGTAGCAACGTAACCGTGAACATTTTCATCCAAGATCAGAACGACAACGCGCCTCAGGTTCTGTATCCGGTCCAATCGGGCGCTTCTGTGGTGGCTGAAATAGTGCCTCGTTCGGCAGATGTGGGTTATCTGGTGACTAAAGTGGTGGCTGTTGATGTGGACTCTGGACAGAATGCCTGGCTCTCATATAAACTGCAGAAAGCCACAGACAGGGCGCTTTTTGAGGTGGGCTTACAGAATGGAGAAATAAGAACTGTACGCCAAGTGACAGATAAAGATGCTGTGAAACAAAGACTCACTGTTGTAGTGGAGGACAACGGACAGCCCTCTCGATCAGCCACAGTCAATGTTAATGTTGCGGTGGCGGACAGCTTCCCTGAAGTGCTCTCGGAGTTCACTGACTTTTCGCACGACAAGGACTACAACGACAACCTGACTTTCTATCTGGTCTTAGCCTTGGCCGCAGTCTCATTTCTTTTCATAACATGTTTGGTCGTCATAATATCTGTTAAAATCTACAGATGGAGGCAATCTCGCCTGTTTTACAAGTCCAATCTTCCAGTTATTCCGTATTATCCACCGCGTTACGCGGACACTGTTGGCACAGGAACTCTGCAGCACGCCTATAATTATGAGGTTTACAGAACGACCGATTCCAGAAGCAGTGACTGTACGTTTGTCAGACCTGCAAGTCAGAACGTGTTGATAGTGGATCCTAATTCTACACTGACAGTGCAGCGCCCTCCCAGCGAGAAAAACATGCTGGATGAATTAGATTCGCCAGTAGAGGTGAGATATTATTATTATTGTTGTTGTTGTGTACTCAGTTAATATAATATGGTAATGTGATAAACTTTGAAACGTTGCATGAATTCATTCCAACTTGTTTTTCAGGTTACAAGGACCTGTGTCACATTTTACTCATTTATCGCTACATGTCTGTGCGGAGTTTGTATATATTTCAGCACTTCCTAAGTGGACAGCGCTGCTGTCGATTTACATGAATTTTTCTTAGTATTCTTTTTTTCTTTTGTCTGTTGAAATGTTTGCGTTCTGTTAATGCTTATTTTGAACTCTAAGGGCCGCTGTTGGTCAATGAAATACTTTAAGTGCAGCAGGCTTGTCTCACAGTAAACCATGGACCCACCCCATCAGTGCGCGCTTTGACGCAGCTCACTCCCCTGTTTCATTCTTTAAGGGTTGGTGAGAGGGTGACTTTCTCTGTCTATTTTTCTTCCAAACGAATACAAAACGTTTTTGTAATCCTGCCTTGGAATATTGCTCTATCATATTGGAATATTAATGGTGAACTTGCTTGCAAATCAGTATGGCTGTTAAGGATTTTTATCGAAATGGATGCGCTCGATGGCGTGTTTTCTTCCAACCGCAGTGGCAAGTATTGTTTTTCATCTCGTGCTACATTCCTTTTGCCATCTCTCAAATTCGCTACTCCATCCCTGAAGAAATGAGTAAAGGCTCGCTTATTGGTAATGTAGCACAAGATCTGGGGCTGGATTTGAAAAGGCTTCGAACGGGTCGAGCGCGTATCGTGACGGGAGAAAGCACTCGGTACGCAGAGCTTAGAACAGACAAAGGGATTCTGGTCGTGAGTGAGAGAATAGACCGAGAACAGCTTTGCGGCGACACCACGCCATGCAGCTTCAGCTTCGAGATTATTCTAGAGAACCCAATGGAGCTGCACCAGGTTACTGTCGAAATCACCGATGTTAATGATAATTCTCCGGTGTTTGAAAATAATAAAATCAGTTTTGAAATTAGTGAATCGGCAGCTCTTGGTTCGGGTTTTGCTTTAGAAAGGGCGTATGACTCTGACGTAGAACTGAATTCTTTGCAAAATTATATTCTCTCACGAAATGATTATTTTGTTCTTAAACAAAACTCAAACCCAGACGGCAGTAAATACGTTGAGATGGTTCTTGATAAAGCGTTAGACCGGGAGGAGCATCCTCATCTATCCCTGAAGCTGATCGCTGTAGATGGCGGAAGCCCGCAGAGGTCTGGCTCTGTTAATATAGATGTTACTGTTTTAGATGCGAATGACAACGCACCTGTTTTTAACCAGACAGTCTATAGGGCATCTGTGATGGAAAATTCTGAAAAAGGTACTCCTCTAATCACTGTAAATGCGACGGATGCAGATAGTGGTACAAACGGACAATTACTTTATTCGTTTTCTGATATAAAAGAACAATTTAAAGACATTTTTAACATTGACGGGAATACAGGTCAGATAACTGTTATAGGTGATGTTGATTTTGAGAAAGATAAG